AAAAAAAAACCTCCGCCTTGGGTTGGTTTCGCCGGAGCTTTATCGAGGTGATACGACGTTGTTCCACCGTCGCCGGACGGTATATATTTGGATATCTTCGTCGGATCCCTTCATTTCCGATAAAATTCAAATATCTCTGCTCTTATTATCTTCGAAAAGTTGCTTTGATTTCTCTTTGGTAATTTGATCGGAATTCAGTTAATTCGTCGGAAGAAGTTGCTTTGATTTTGAATTTTCACTGATTGAAGTTGCTTGAATTTCGAATTTTGAATTGGTTATACTGTATATAGTAGTAATATGATTTAGGGCAGCTGTGAGTTGGAAAAAAAAAATATAGGGTTAGGGTTAGTGTTAGGTTTTAGGGTTTTATGGTGGTTATGATGATTTGACAATGGTGAGGTTATTGGGATTGACGCGAGGAGAGCCGGCCGAGTCACCTCGGGAGGTAACTCGGACAATCCCAACGAGTGAGGACATTGGAGAGAGTGGTTGGCTTATTCGATTCTTCGATTCTGCATTTTTCTGTGAGTGGATCGCTGTTAGCTACCTTTACAAGCATGATCATCCTGGTGTTAGGGACTACTTGTGTAATAGGATGTATACACTGCCACTTTCTGGCATTGAGAGTTACTTGTTTCAGATATGTTATATGATGGTTCATAAGCCGAGCCCCTCGTTGGATAAGTTTGTGATCGATGTGTGTTCTAAGTCATTGCATATTGCGCTAAAAGTGCATTGGTTTTTGATGGCGGAGTTGGAGGATACGGATGATAATGAGGGGATAAGTAGGCTTCAGGAGAAATGTCAGATTGCTGCTACTTTGATGGGCGAGTGGCCCCCCTTGATAAAACCCCAAAACAGTTCATCTACTTCCATGGGCAAGAATCAGGTGCTTAATAAGTTATTATCTTCGAAACAGAAGCTTTTATCCTTGACATCTTCGCCACCAGCTGCACAGCGGTCACTGTCATTTTCACCCTCTTCGGGGAGTTCATTGCCACAGGATGATGGTATTGGGAGTAAAATATCGTCGCCGGAGGAGAATAAGATTTTTAAGAAGTTGATGCCGGGTCCAAAAGTAAGAGATGCATTGCTCTTCAGGAAATCCGTGGAGAAGGATGATGAAGAACCAGAAAAAGATAGTTTTTTGAAGAGACTTTTGAGGGATAGTAGGGATGAAGATGTGAGGAAATTATCGGATAAGGATGATGCGGAACCGGAGAGGGATGGCTTTTTCAAAAGGTTCTTAAGAGAGAGTCGAGACGATGACAGTAGGAAATCTGTGGACAAAGACGAAGAGGAGTCAGAAAAAGATGGGTTTTTCCGCAGACTTCTGAGTAATAGTAAAGATGATGATGCTAGGAAATCCGTGGATAAGGATGCAGAGGAATCAGAGAAGGATGGCTTCTTCAGGAGGCTTTTGAGTAGCAGTAGGGATGATGAGGAGGATGTGCACTCAAGTACAGATGGATTTTTCAAACGTATATTTCGTGATAATAAAAATGATTTGGAGGATAAAGCAGGTACCAAACCTGTTGAAGATGATGAAAAAGATGGGTTCTTCCGGAAGTTTTTGAAGGACAAAGAGAAGAAGGATGTAAGAGATAAAAATGAAGTAGCTGAAAAGTCAACAAGGAGTTCTGAAGATGATGAAAAGGACGGGTTCTTCAAAAAGTTTTTTAAAGAAAAATTCGAGGATAAGAAAGATGGGAATGACCGGACTGATGAGGATATTAGGAGGCATGCAAATGGCGAGGAAGAAGAGTCGTCAGATTTTTCATTGTTTCGTCGACTCTTTCGAGTGCATCCAGAGGATCCAAAATCGTCAACAGCGAATGAGAGCTGTAATGGTGGCAATTTTCTTGAGAGCAGTCCTGGTACTGAGAACTTCTTCCGCAAGCTGTTTAAGGACCGTGATCGTTCAGTTGAAGATTCAGAGCTTTTTGGTTCAAAAAAGAACAAAGAGGTAAGTACAGAACTCTTTTGCCTATGTCTTTCAGTTGCTGATAACCCGCTGCAAAAGGACTTAGTCTGTAATTTTGTAGTGCCATATGTAAATCTGTCTACTCATTTTGCACAAGGCTGTGCATCTCAGCTATAACCCCTGCATGTATCCTCAAGAATAGAATTAATTTAAGTCTGACACGTACTGGCATACCTATGCCCTCTCCCCATGGTCCTTGCGAATTTTATCATTAAAGACTAAATGCATTTCTTAGAAGTATTTCATAGTGCAATTCTGTCTTGATTTTTGATCCAAGGTTTAGCATGGCATTCTTACTGGCTAAAGTTTCATGTAACTTGATCACTCCAGTAACTTTAGTGGCTCTTGATATTGGAGTATATAGAATCCATTCCAGTGACAGCACGTCATTTGGTATTGGCGGTTTAAGGATATAATAACAGACACAAATCTTGTCATAAAAGGCTCTTGTTTTGGATATCTTCTCCAGGGTTTATGGTGTTCCTTCTCTGTGTTCCCCGAAATCCAGTTATGCTTTCTACTATTTAGTGATAATATGTCATACTCCCTCCATTTCAATTTATGTGTACCTATTTCCTTTTTAATCCATGCCAAAAAGAATGACCTCTTTGCATATTTGGGAACAATTTACCCGGCCACACAAAATATATGTGCCTCATTTTACGCCACAAGTTCAAAAGTCTTCTCTTTTTTCTTGAACTTCGTGCCCAGTGAAATAGGTTCGCATAAATTGAAACGGAGGGAGTAGAAATTAGGTTGAAACTAAAAGATGTAAATTGTCCCCTTGACCCAAACACATACCAATTCTCTATCTCGAGAAGGTATGCCTGGTTTTTCTCGAATTCTTTTTATGGGTTTTCATTGAATCTCTTTTATCACCTTAAAAATGAACAGTAATTCTGCCTTGACATGATAAATAGTGATGCCCACCTGCAGAGTGTAGTCATCCCTGCAGCCTTGGAGTAGAAAACGCTTCATTTTAGTGTTATTCACAAATTATTATTTTGATATAATGCCTTGTACTCTGCTGCTATTAATTCCGACATGCAGACCATTACTTCCCAAACTGCATATATCTGTTGATGTTTTTATGATTGGAGGGATATGATGTTCCATGTCAGATCTTGTTAACTAAACACCACGATTTTGGTCAATCAAGAACTGGTGTAAAACAAAGGGAAATGAGGACGACTAGTTTTTAAATGAATCTACAGAGTGATGAGAAAGTTGATTAACAGAAGCAGTCATTTTTCATGATCATACTGTGATGCAATCATTAGAAAGAGTGTGTGTGTGTGTGCATAAAAAGAGAGTTATGATATGAAAGCGACCCTAAGTTTTCAGGTCTACTTTATTCAGTGAAGGACACAACATTTAGCAAATTAGCGGGAGGAAGAGGAATAAATAAGTCTGGAGAAGACATAAATCATCTTTTGTTGCTGGTTTTGTGGCTCACCTTCGGGATCTTCTTTTTCAATGTTTAATATTTCATGGGTGTTGCTAAGAACTGTGGAGGAGGGAATTACAGGTTGGAATTTCAGAGGGTTGGTAGAAAAAGGAAGTTAGCGTGGAGGACTATACCATTGTGCATCTTCTGGCTAATTTGGAATGGAAGAATAGGAGAATGTTCCAGATAAAAGCTGTAAATAGAATTAAAAATCTTGCTATTTCATCGACTCTTTTGGTGTAAAGTGAAAATAACCATTTTTTTGTGTGTGTAGTAATTGGAATAGTTTGGGGGAGGACTGTGGATAAGCTAGCTATACACTGTCTGTGTAATTTTTGTAATACCGGCTTGGTGTGATATTAATGAAAATTATTTGATTTATCAAAAAGTAGTAAAAAATATAGTTCCCTTTTAACCTGTAGGAAACTGAGGAAGTTAAGTAAATGTACTATGCCATACACATTTTCATGTTAAACCAAAAAATGAAAAAGATATAAGTACCTGAATTTTAGTCCATGCACAACTTCAATTTCGTCTTCGAATCATCTTAGGTTCCTTTCCTTCCAGCTTCCTACACAAGCTATACGTATATGCTGGTACACTGTTCGTCTGTTCCATATCCTTATTCTTTCTCTGATCATTTTCCTCGCTATCCTGTGCAAAAGAATATCTGTGAGTGTAACTGTAGTTACCATATCACAAAAAGGTCTTGAAACAAGCTTTACAACTGCTGACTGCAGACAACGGCAAAAACTGATTATCCATGTCTTCAATATCCATTTCATATGTATAACACCTGCTGCAGTTCACCATACCCTTCCTCTGCAGGTTAAACCAATCAGGCAGGCTTCATAAGTTGCAATCCAACAGAAGAAAGCGACACTGAGAGTTTTGCTTTCTGAATCTTCAAAGGCCACTATGTGATAGTGCTATAAAAAATAGACATAGGATTATAACAGGACTTCACAGTTCACAGTTCGTCCACTTTTGTTTTGGAGCACATTTGGTTCTTGAAACCATCTCCTCAACCACTTGAACAGTAGAATTTCACTCGATAATTTCAAAATTTCTATCCCCGACCATCCATTCTTTTTTCCTTTGATTACCTTGTCCCATTTAACCAAGTGATAAAATCTTATTCTTTTTGTCCTGAAATCTCTCCTGATCCACTCCATCTTTTCTAAGACTTTGTTAGGATCGGAAATAGTGACATACCATAAGTTGGTATTTTGTTAAGCACCATATTGATGAGAGTCAATCTTCCACCTAATGATATATAGTCTTTTCTAATTGGTCAGGCGTCTTAAAACGTCTCAATAATCCTTTGCAATGTCAAAAGAGATTTGTGTGAAGCCCCAAAGAGGGAAGCCTATGTACGTAGAAGGGACTTTGCTTCAGTTCAGCGTCCCGAGATTCTTGTCATGGACTTGTATATTTTGAACTTTTTTTGATAAGTAATTGAAATTTGTATTTTTTGAACTTTATAATGTGTAGTTCAGATTGGACCTCAAAATAAGCTAAAGTTTCAGTTTGTTTTTCTTCTCTGGCAGCAAAGTTCTTTCCATTTCCCAATGCTGAAACCTTGCTATCCACTTCTTCTCCATTGTTATTTCAGCTTCCTACTCAAACCCTTAATTACAAAGTTGCCTTAACCCCCTTGGGATGAAGAAAATCCTTCAGTGCAGCATTACTCAGTAGTTAGAACTCGACTCCAGAGATGCACAAATTGATGCAATTGACACACATCTATCCAAAACCTATACCTTTACAGAGTTGACTTTCCCGATTAACTCATTCATATGCTTTTTCAATGTCAGTTTACTTAGTAAACTAGGTTTATCTTGCCTCATCGTCATGTGCATTCATTTGCATTGAACCAAGCATAAGTGGTTTGCCTGCCATTAATAAAAGCATTCTCTGCATCTTGTGAGAAAGCACATCTAACTATTCTAACACATCTAACACCAGTTTACTGATAAACTTCCAATTTTCTTACTTATAATTGTTTTAAATCATGTGAGTACCTTGGTTATAACTTTGAATATGCTACCTGGGAGGCTTATGGTTTTGAAATCTCACAGTGCATCTGCACACAACATTTTGAGGATCAATGCAATATATGATGCACTGAAGCTCCTTTGAAAAGATTCAACCTTGTGAAACCGATCAAGATATTGTCTGCTTAACTGCAATCCGACATTTTTGTCCTACAGGAATAGTACAGGGACATAGAATTTGTTTTTCTTGCTTTCTGGTCTTCCGATGTAAATACTTTTGCAGCGTTCCTTAGTGCTCTTTTAACACAATTATTACCTTCTAAGAGAAAAGAAACTACAGTTCAACCTTTTTTTGGTTATGGTAAGTCAATTAGTTGTATTGCCTTTTCCCATCGTAATCCTTCTTCTTTGTAGCCACTCTTTTTCCTCCTGAAAATCCTCATTTTTGAAGTTTGTTTTCGATTTTCAGTCTCTTGGAATACAGTTGTAGAACCATAGAATCTTCTAAAAGCTTCCGTCTTCACAATTGTTTTCACATACAAGTTCATCTTATCTATATTGTTGCATCTTTTATGCACATCTTCCATTGCATATGATAATCTTTAACCAAAGGCATCGAGATATTTCCTGTCACCCCATTTTGACTAAAGGAATCACATTTATGTATCCAAGAAGTTCTTTAGTTCTTGCACCTCTTTCCAGTCTTCTTCCAACTCTGTTTTTTAAGTTGGCTTCTCCTTTGATAAGCTCCTTGAGGTAGAATTTAGCTTCTACAACATTTGAGACTCCTCTATCCTGAACTGCCAGACGAGTTCAGGTTGTATCCTGTGAGACTCTTCTTCAACATTAAAAAACTGTTTTTTGACATCTAGTTTTTAAGAGTTTTCTGATAAATTAATAATTTTGATTGATGTTTTGAGGAAATATCAATACACGACTATAATATAAAACAGTTGAAGATCGACAAAATAATTTGGTTCTCTATATTTGGAGTTAAACTATCTACACCAATAGGATCTCGTGAGTTGTGGGTGCACCAGAAATTCACCGAACTTGAATTTCATGTTCTACCCCTTTGTAAGGTCTCTTATTCTTCTCTCTCCAAAGTACCCACATGAGAGCCAAAGGAGCTATATCCACCTCTTCATCATCTTCTCCTTAAACCAAGACTGCTAATGAAAGTCTTCCTCCTTGTAAGATCCATTAATCAGTTTAGTTTGATATTTTTGTGCCTTAGTTTGGGTTTCAGTTTGCTGCATTCTTCATAATATGTGGTACCTGTGTGCATTCGAACATCGGAACAAATAAGGTAGAAGGGGTGTTAACACTCTGAGAAAGGTGGGGTAGATTTTTCAGAATCTTAATTATTCAGTCATGACCTTACACGCATCAATGGTGAGTGCCGAGGCTCTTTAGTTGCAATAAATCTACAATGGATGAGTTATAGTGACATGATGGAAATGTGATGTAGTGTTTCTGAGATTATGGATTAGCATATATTTCGTGTTGGGCTCTTTACACCAGCCTCCGCTGCAATCTTGCAGAAATTAGAGTCGTAATTGAGGAGTTGATACATATAGTATGATGGTACCTTATAAATAAAAAAGATATATATGGTATGATGGTAATTGTAATTAATTCGTGAGTAATGTTCATTCCGCAGAAACGTCCTGGCTCCCCAAAGCAGCACGAGAGGTTAAATGCAAAACCTCCACTTCCAGATAATGGGGTATCACAATTTCGGAAAGGGGCATACCATCAGTCACTTGATTTTGTGCAGTCACTGTGCGATACTTCCTATGGATTAGTAGACGTGTTCCCAGTTGAGGATCGCAAAAGTGCTCTTTGTGAGGTGGTTCTAGTTTTAACTTGCTCTATACTTTTCCTTTGGTGTGATACCTTTTGTTAACAGTTTCCCCTCACTGACATTCACCTTTGTTCTTCTAGTCGCTAGTGGAGATCAATGCACATCTAGCTGATGCTCAAAACAGTGGAGGTACACGTGTATTGAAAATTTAATGCATGAGTCAACTTTATGCATTTCCTTATATAGGGTCAATGAATATGTTCTGTTGTTGATTTATTCTGTCATGATCTCAGTTGTTCTTTTAGACTTTTGAGAGGTTCTGGAGATGGATTTCCTCCTAAAGGCATAAAAAATTGAGGAATACTTCCTGCAGCTGTCTATAAGTTGCCTTTTCTTAATGCACCATCATTTCCATTTGAGAGATTAAAACTCGTTGCAAGTTTACTCTGCTACCAGAAATGAATTGAATTCAATGAGGGGCAGTTGATTCAGTTTTATATTATATCCATGTCTTTGTACTCACTAATGTTTTTGCATCTGTGAATGAGTATGTGTATCATTAGTTCTCCTTATGTAATACATACCGGGTACTAGACCTTGTAAAAGAAATGCCGGTTGAGTATGTGTATCATTTGTTCTCTTTATGTAATAAATACCAGGTACTCGACCTTTTAAAAGAAATACCGGGTACAATTCTCGTTTCAACATCTAAACTCTTCTATACGCATTTTAAGTGATTACAGATTCCCTCAACTTAGGTAAAAATGGCAATCTTCGTGATGTGGGTATTATGTGAATAAAAATAATGGGTTTTAACTCTTTCTTATACTAAAAGTTTCACATAATCATAGATTAGTTAAGTTAAAATATTGATTCTAACAAGGATTTAGTGTCAATCAGTCCAAGCTTGAAGGTCAAAAGTGGATGGTGAGGTTTAGGGTCTACCCCTTAAACAACATAGTTAAGACATGGTGGCAGGCCATAGAGCAAAGAAATTTGGGGTTGGGGATTGAACATTTGCTATATCATGTATGAGAGGTTTTCATGGTAGGAAAGTTAGCTACCCCCTTTTGGTAGTGTTCTGTCTGCATGAGCACCAAACATGGGTAGAGTGTTTACCAATCGCCGTAATTGTTGACCCAATCACCGAATGACTGCGACTAACATGCTTATAGTTTTCATGATGGTAATTTTAGACATATGTAGCCTTGTTTTATATCTCCTTATGCTGGATTAAGAGTGATGCATTTTATCTGCTTTTCTGGAGGTGCTTGGACTGGGATCAATTCTGTCCCTATTTTTATATGTATGTTTTGTGTTTGCTCCCTATCACTTCCTCAAATGTGAAGTTAAGATGGTGAAACTAAGTCATTCACTAGAATTTCGAGGATTGAGAGCTTGCTTATTTGTATTTGATGCCCTTTTCCATTTCTTTTTTTGTTTTTTGTTTTTTGCCTCCTCTATTAGTAGAAGTTGACTTATACGATGCTCGAGAAATCATTTTTGTGTTTTTAAACTTGCATCGTGTCCGAGAATCATTGCTAATGTACTACTACTTCTGTTCAAAGGAAATGTATTAAGTGTCTGAAACATCATCCTTTCCGAAATAGATCACCCTTTGAACAGTGTGGAGTTCAAGGAAATGTAAGTTAAATGGTTCTAAGTAACAGAGTTAGGTACACATATGGTGAAATTGTCAAAACGTGCGGAATGAGGTAGTTTGTTCATACGGAGTCACATAATAGCAATAAGCAACTACACATCTATTTTAAAATGGGTGACTTGATTAACTTTCTGTTAAAAGATTAATTTATGTTTATTGTCTTATTTTGGGAGAAGGTAACATTTGTGTATATTAAAGAAGTCAGTACATAGGTTGTACTGAAAACCATATTTACAAGTGAGCAAAAGAGAGAAGAAATCGTTCTGCAGTCCTAGCAAGATTCTACTATTTCTAGGATTGATACAGTATCTTCTATGCTATGTTGCTCGGACTCTTCAAAAATGTTGTTGGGTATGTGTCGAATTTTCCAAATTTAGTGTATTTTTGGAGGATCCGACACGGGTGCGGCAACACTTTTGGAGAGTCCGAGCAACATAGCTTCTATGTAAACCTGTTACACCAAAAACAAAAAAGCAGAACACAATTTAGTTTGATCTTATGCACTGAGTTGCTGCTGTTCTCAAAACATCTGGAATTTCTCTGTCCAGATTGTCCACCAGATACAAGCTGGGACAGTCCTCCATCTATCTTTATCTCTTTCTTCAGCTTCATCACAACTGAAAAGAACTTCAGTAATCTTGCTAGGAATTGTCCTGGATATGCCTCTGAGATTAATAAAGATCTTCCATAATTGGTCTGTTATCTTGCAGCGTACAAATAGATGGCTATCTGTCTCAGCTTTTCCCCCACATAGGAAGCACCTTGAACAAAGTGGCATTCCTTTCTCCTGAGATTGTCTCGAGTCAAGCAGCATCCTTTGCTAGTAGTCAAGTAAAACAAGCCACCTTGTAGGGGATCTTTACTTTCAAGATATGTTTCCATGGACAATTAGTAATCTGCTGATTAGGATGATTCAGAATCCTGTATGCTGTATTCACCTTATAGATACCACTGTTGTGTCCCTGCCACCATAATGTGTCCACCCCATTTTGTAATCCTTTGAATTCTTCCAGCTGCTTGTAAAACTCAGTCAACCTGGCCACCTCCCAGTCATTCAGCATTCTCCTAATAATGAGATCCCAACCTTGAGGTGTCCATGCTTCAGCTACTGTCTTTTGTTGATGTTCGACCAAACCATATATATCAGGGAAAAGCACCTTTAAACAACCAGCTCCCAGCCATTTATCGTTCCGAAAGGAAGTTTTGCTACACTAACAGAAGAATGACTCTTCATAACAGGCCAAAGTGACCTAATGGATCTCCATAAACTACCTCCATATCCTGTGTTAACTTCCTTTGATATCCAGATTGAGTATGAAAGTTGATCAAGTATTTTGAGATGGAGGATGTATCAGTAAGTGCAGGTAAGAAAAGCAGGTAGTGAAGACATAAAACAGATAGACAAAGTCTTTGATTTGGCAGCAAGTCTTGTATATTAAGATTGTGTCATTTGGTGTTGTGTGGGCTATGAAGGTTTTCCTACTTTTAATTTTCAATTCCCGCGCATGCAAATTTGTGCCCAAAATTCCCTTTGCAACTCTTAGTTAAATCAAAATATATTTCCTTTGTAGCTTTTAGTTCAATTGTCGTCTTAATATCTTCGACATGCTACAGGAGTGTGCTTTCCAATGGGAAAGGGAATGTATCGTGTTCTTCACATACCTGAAGATGAAGCTGTTCTCTTGAATTCAAGAGAAAAGGCTCCTTATTTGATATGTGTTGAAGTTTTAAAATGTGAAAGCCCCAAGTAAGTTAAAGAAATTATGACCCAAAGACACATTTACTTTTAACAGGCTGGTTTCTGTTTACCACTGCCTCATGTTTGTTCTTTCTTTTTCACTTCCATGCAAATGACAGTACAAAAGACACATCCAATCCTCAAAAGCTCTCAAAGGGAGGGATCCCTCTGGCAAATGGAGATGTTCTATTGCCAAAACCTCCTCCTTGGGCTTACCCTCTGTGGACAGGACAAGATATGTACCACAGTGGTTTTGACAGGATGTCAATGTCTGCATCTCAGGCCATAGACCAAGCAATGACTCAATTATGGGATGCCAAAGTGAAATTTGTGCGAGTGAATTTTTCGGTGGAGAAGCAATCAGAGTCTGCAATAGATCATTGCAGCCTTGGTTCTGCTTCAGAAAGTTGTAGCCAATGTAGAGAGGTCCCATCTCTTCCATTGAAGTCAGATGCTTTTGATCCAGAATGGGTACAGGTTATCTTGACTGTAGATCCTGGTGTTAGGATGGAGGATATAGTGGACCAAGATCCACCAAGAAAGAAAGAGCATCGAAGGGTTCCCAGTACAGTAGCTATCGAGGAAGTCAAGGTAATCTTCATGTCTGCTGCATATGTAAACATTCTTTTACACTCCTAAAGTGAAGTTTCTGTATGCTTATTGGATCTTCGTGAGATGCAGTACTGCCTTTTGGCTAAGATCAAGTGTAGTATATGATCTTCGTGAGATGAGTGAATGTCTTCTTTCATTTGGAAAAGTATGTCTTTTCATCATTCTTCTGGTCTAGCCTCTATATGACCAAATATCCTTAGTATTTGTCTGTCAAGACATCAAAGATGTATGTTTAAGTCACCGGGACATTTTTGAGTATTCTCAAATAGAGTATTAGGTGAATTCATCTTTCATTTAATTGTTTTATCTATTGAGAGGGGAACATCCACTCCAGAATTTGACCTCAATTTCGGTAATAGGATCATGCTGCTAAGCAGTTGCGTTTGCTTTAGAAGTCTAGGTTTAGTGCAGAAAGATAATGAATCCTACGGTGCTTGTTGGAAGTTATTAGGTATGAATGAAACATACCTCCAAAATGATTGAGCTCAGCATTTTGATCCATTATTGCGAATTTGTGGTAGTTTTTAACTGCTTTGGTGTGAACTGAAACTGGAAGTTTTGATGAAATTGAGGAGCTTTTTGTGTTGAAAGTATTAGTTCGACATCGTCTTCTTGTATGCTGTTTTTAGTGGAGAGATTAGTGTCATTGAGTGCCGGGATGAGCGGATCTTTGGTGTTGATGCACTGTTATTACTTGTCAAGCAAAATATAGATGGCCATAATCTAATATCTGTTAGGCATCTTGTTGAGATTCATGTGATGGTTTCCAACTCCCTCTTGGGGATTTGCTTTTGAAGGTGATTACCATTGTTTCTCTGGTATGTTCACCTTTTGGGAGAGATGGTTCTCTATCATTATCACTACTGCATGATTTTTTATTCAAGAGTCGTACTTGTTCCCTTGATACTTTTCCATACATGAAGAAATCACAAACATGGTTCTTTTTACAGTTAGCTGCATTAAAAGGAGAAGCACCTCCTGGACTCCCTTTGAAAGGGGCTGGTCAGGATTCATCTGATGCGCAACCAAAGGTATAAACGATGTTGGATGTTGTTTCTCGGCTATATAGAATCTATAGTTACATTTGCGTGATAATCTTATCGATAACAGGTCACAAATGGTGGTCTTCCCAAGGTTAGTGATGCACTTTCTGGAGAACTCTGGGAAGTCAAGAAGGAAAGAATACGCAAATGCTCCGTTTATGGGAGATTACCTGGCTGGGACTTGAGATCTGTGAGTTCCGCCATCTGAATATTTATATTGTCTCCTTGATATTGTCTTTGTGATTTTTGATAGATTAGTATGCCATGTGTGCTTGCTTGTGTATAAAGAGAAAGGTTGGATTTGCTGCCAGTGATTAGAACATGTAGACATACACATACAAAACTTCTTATGAAATATATCATATGCATATTCCTTGTAAAAAATAAACATATATTATACACATAGTGTTGAGTCTCACTTTGGTAGTGGGATGGGGTATTGGTCTCCCTATATGGTCATGTGCAATCCTCACCTCTTGAGCTAGTGTTTAATCCAAATTGGTTTGCAAGTTGCCACAACCATTGCTCGATATTCAGCTTCTGCTCTAGATCGAGCAGCCACATTTTTTTTCTTGCTTTCCCAAGACACCAAATTACCTCCTACCAGAAAACAATAAACAAATGTAGACCGTCTATCAGAAGGTGAGCCAGCCCAATCAACGTCTGTGCATCCAACAATCTGCTAATGACCTCGATCCTCAAAAAGCAATCCTTTGCATGGAGGCTGATTTTATGTATCAGAGAATACGAACAACTGCATCTCAATGAGTATCACACAGAGAGTCCATAAAGTGATTTGCTACACTCACACGAAGGACAATGTCAGGTCGAGGAAGGACAATGTCAGGTCGAGTAACTGTGAGATAGTTCAACTTACCAACCAGCCACCTGTACCTTCCAGGATCACTAAGGGGCTCCTCTGTCATGGTAGAAAGTTTAATATCGGGTTCATAAATGTCTAGGGCATACTTACGCTATGAGATGGCAATTCCTGATTTGGACTGCCCGACCTCTATGCGTAGGAAATACTTCTATCTTCCTAAGGTCCTTTTTGTGGAAATGCTGAAAGAGATGTTGCTTTCAATTTAATTATTACCATCTTCATCCATTTTATTCTTATATTGTCCACGGTTCAGATGCCCAATCCTAGGCTTTGGGGGGGGGGGGGGGGATCTATGTCATTTGCGATAGCCAGGTTGCACCCAATAAAGAAGTGAGGATATACATCTATGCTTAATGCTAACCACAGATTCCATTTGCCTTGAAAAATCTTGCGTTTCTTTCCTTCCAAACAGTCCACCATATTACTGACCATTCAAGTTTTCCTGTCTTTCCCAATCTTTTGAAATGCCAGCATTGTAATAGCTCCTTCGTTGTCTTTGGCATGGTCCAAATAACTCCCAGAATGTTGAAAAAGAATATCCAGATCTGGGAGGTGAAAGAGCAATGAAGAAACAAATGATTGACATCCTCATTTTGCTTCTGACAAAGGCAGCACCTGCTATAGATGTTGATTTCCCTTTTCTAAAGATTTTCATGCGTAAGGCTGGCTTCCTTGGCTACCAACCGGGGAAAACGTTCATTTTCCAGTGGTGATTTGTTTTTCCTGATGCATTTCCAAGTCCAGTTATGAGCAACAGTGGGCCTTAGCTGCTCGTAGCTAGAATTGACAGTAAGCATTCCTTTAGCATTGCATTTCCACTGTATAATATCTGTCCTGCAAAGTGAGAGAGGGGTCTTGTGAGGTCTGAGAAGCAATGAACATAAGCTGTCCATTTCTCAGTCATTGATATTGTGCCTAGTCATTATCAATTTCGTGCCACATTGTATAAAGTTGGGTACTGATCCTTTAGGGGTGACTGGTCGAGTCAAATATCTAGCCAGAATCTCGTTTTCCTGCCATCTCCCAAGACTACTGAGGTCTTGGGTTGGAAACAGTCCCAGAGTGCGCTCTTATGTCTGCAGACGCACATGTATTAGGGATTGTGGTTGTTTCATAATCGAAGGGTTGAGAAGCCCATATTTGGTTACAGTAACCTTCGTCCATAAATCCCCTAAAGGTGCCTACTTACTGTTAAATCTCCAAAGCCATTTATGCTGCAAACTGTATTTTGAGCTCTCAAGTCTTTGATACCCAGACCTCCTTGTCTGAGTGGAGACAGTTATCCATCCTTTTTGCCACCCGAATTGACAGAGGGAACAAAGGCATGGTATTTTTGGGGGGGG